CGTCCATTCCAAAGGACCGAGGATCCGAAAAATCCATTTCTGGTTACATGTCTTAATACCAAAATTAAATTAAAAATTGAATTTATAAAAGCATCTATCCATTAAACGATTAGATGTGTGTAAACAAGCGAATAAGTGCCCTTAGCACCGCTATTTGCAACCACACTAAGCACTTCAAGTTATTTGCTACATTGATCAGATAAACAAGATTTACAAACGTTCTACAATAAAAAATGCCAGAAGCAAAAATAGAATATAAAAGGCTCCTAAACTGTTTTAGATGGTAAAATATATAAAGCCTAAATTCATAGAAAACGTAGGGATTGGTTTGTTTCTACCTGCAAGATGCCATAAACTACTAATTTTATTTCGTTTCCAACGAGGCAATACCGTTAAATATAACTTAATTATCTTTGGAAATCCGATAAGGTGTAAAATTTTATGTATTTATATATTCTGCTGAACTACTCTTTACCGTTTACACTCTTGGACCACTTATGTTTATCGTCGTAAATCTTCCGTCGCTTAAAAGCGAAGAGGAAGACCTCATTTCCTTTGTGTCAGATATGAGTCATCGTAGTAATGACGATGTCAACCGCAAGGGTCGTTGCTGCCCTCCGGATACGTTTTGATGAACTGCAAGCTGAGGTCACTTCGCCCCGCGGAGTGCCCTCGGGCTCAAAATATGACGTCACAATCCGATGTGAAATATACTAATCCGTTGACAATTTATGCGTCAATCGTTCTACCCTAACGAAGATTTTTCCCTATTTGGATTAACTATAATGTATGATAATTCTTGGAATTATTATTATTCTTTTTTATCATCCCTCTGGTGCCATTCTGAAAGTCGGCAATTTCGAGCCTTTTTGGATCCTATAGGATGATACCAAATGAAGCAGACAATGAAGCTAATGAGTGAGTGTGGTGCAAACGACGGGGGTTAAGGCCAAGTTCAGAATGACGGTAATTTTCCATTCGATTGGTTCCTAATCCCATTGCTGGTTTACAGAATTGCACTGTTTCATTGGCCTCACCATCAGAAATATAAAATTCTTCACTACATAAAATGCATTAAGAAAAAAGAAGCGATTTCATAACGAAAAATTAATTTTTAACGGTTATAATCGCGTAATAACATCGTTTAATTTACGAGATTAATGACGTCACGATTCGAATTAGGTTTAATTAGATGATCAACGAGTTTTTCAAATTCACCTAATCGAACCTAATACGGAATTATATATTTTTTTAATATTTTACTTTTGAGACAATAAAAAGCGTTATAAAAATGCTTTAATGGATGTGAACAGGAGAATAAAAATGAAAAAAATTATTTTTTTTATAGTTAAATTTGTTCTTATTTTTTTACGATAGAATGTTACATTTACATGATGTATATCAAGAGAATTGGGCATTAGTAAGTGTTAAAGAGGGTTGTATTACGTGATTTTGAACCTTGCTCCGGAATTACGGATCCAAAAAGCATTACATGGTCCCAATCCACTATTGTATATCTTCTTTACGTATGATATCAATTTTAGGCCATTTAGATAGAATTACGATTGAATAAAAAAAGAAAAAAAAATGCATTTTTGAATTATAAGGCGTAAGTATGCGTGAGGTGTAGAACCAGAAAAATTCACAAAGTTGTGTGAATTATCATTGTTGAAATCCATTTACGACTTTTAGGACTTTATTTTTTCCAGATAAATTCGCATTAAATCTTCCATCTTCGAAAACTATTGCAACTCTCATAATTCTCGATAAATTTTTTGAAAAATTCTATAAAGTTTTAAAGCTTTTACCATTCTGTTATCATAAATACATATTTTTCTTATATTTTTAGAAAAATCATCAGCAGTTAAGAAAGATAAAAAGAAAAATCGAAATCTTTTCGTACTAAGTATGAAATTTCTTTAAGTTATGCGAATCGGGAGTCAATTTAATCAAGTTTTCATTTTAAAATATTGTTACCGGGCTTAATTTCATTTTCTTATCAACGTAAATTTCATAAAATATGAAAATAAAAACAATTTTAATTGATGTGTAGCCTTAAAAGTGCATACTCGATACTCTCTTTAAGTTCTTCTCGCGCTCACATATTGTGTATTATTAAAATAAGAGCATAAATTATGCAAAATTAAAGTAAATATGTTATTGTTAAGTTAAATTTCATTAAAAAATTACTAAATTATATAGCGAACTTTGCGTATTTTACAATAAATCATTGCAATTTTGTTTAGGCAAATACTTCAAACTTGTAATAAATATATTTATGTGACCCTTTCGTAGCATTAAATATCACCAATCAAAGCTAAAATCCGTTATAACTGGGTGAAAAAAGCAAAATATATATAACTCCGATTATCAAGGTCAATAGCAATACTTCATTTATTATAAAGTACCGAGCTCGAAAAATAATAAATAAAATTCAATAACAATAATCAAAGTACATTTATTTCCATTAGACCTATCTAATTCCGAAGACAGTACAGATATAGAATTAGATAATCGTATAAATTGATACATTATTTTCCTATATTATCTAGAAAATAATGAAAGAAGAATAGTTTTTTTCCCGGAATTCATGAGATTTTTCGATTAAAAATAAAGGAAAAAAAATACTTATTTACCGAAAGTATCACGGCATCTATTCAGTTTGGAAGAGAAAAGGTCATTAAATATACAAGAACCACTTTTCTTTGTAGTCGAAAGAATTCTTGAATGAGATTCGTGTATCATCAATTCCCAAAAGACGTCTATACATCTCATTAATGCATAAAAGTCGATAAAAAATAAATAAAATCGAAAAAACTTTCGACTTTTTTTTATTAAAATTTTAATATTTTATGGGCGCTTTATTAAGTTATATTCGTCATCTTCGTCAGCAGCAGCCGCACTTTTCTCTGATGATTTTATAATAAAATAATTTATAATTATCAAATTTAATATATTTATAGTTAAATTTAATTAATTTTCTACGATACTTAATTAAAAAATCTAATTAAAGTGCAAAAAAATCCATAATTTTAAGCTTCTTGAAGAAAGAAAAAATCGTGTATTTTTGAGACGAATGATCTTATTTCTAGTGTTTGAAGTTTGAAAATTAAAAATTGAAGAAAGTATTCACTTGATTGAATTTTTATTTTTTATTCTTCTATAGAATTTCGTTATTATTTTTTAAATTTATTTTTGGATTACGTATCGAAAAAACGAAGTAAGAATTCACGTATAAGGAATGGCTTATGTGGGTCATGGGATTGGTTTTGATCTAGGCGAGAATGTTTTCCAGAGAAAACTTTTGGTTGCCAATAGTAACGGCCATTCAGTTACCTGCACCCCATCGATCTAAGGATGGGAAAGAGCAGGTGCATAGGACAGCACGGGACCAATGAGAAAGCGGGATGGATGTAATTGTGACCAGTTTCTCTTGTGGCTGGGGCACCCAGACCATCGACCACTTACACCAATGTTCTCCAATTACTCCCGGGCTAAAATTTAACTGTAATGCAAATTATACTTTTATTCGTCGGGATCTATTGTGCAGCGAATTTAGAGCCTGTCGCGGAGTGTATTTTTTATCATTACTGTCGAGCGTGTAACTAATTTAGAAAAGTAGACGGGAGGTTCGTTAAATAATTTAAACACCCGTCTCGTTTAAGATTAAGTATAAATGAAGTAAAATAAATACTAAAGAATATAATTAATTAATTTTTTTTCATTGCAGAATATGGCGACGAATCCAAGCGATAAGGGCATATCAATATTAATCAATTGGACAAGATAATCCGGATATAGCGATCTATCTTGTTACATAATCAGTAATTCTAGGATTAATAAGATTTGTTCTTCGATCCTGAATAGATTTGCAGATTACTTAACCCCTTATCCATTAATAATACTAAGTTTAAGTCTACTACGATGCGTTATATCGAGTTACGATGTTATTATGGTAATAAAGTTGAAGCTGGTATAGAGGAAATATTAATTAATAATATATTGACTTAAGATAACTTATTAATTGAATCATCTTTAGGAAAAGGGCCCCAGAAACGGGATCTTTGTCGTTGGCGACAATCTTTCAAACATGTCACGTGTATATCACTTAATGACTTCTCATGAATGATTCAGTAGGTCGGTGTTGGAGAAGCTGTCTCGTTTCATCTTAGTCGATTTACTGATCGCCAGTTAATTGCCCCGGTCCCCCCTGTTTTTTCTTTTTTTTAAATGGAAAGAATAAAGATACAAACCTTTCTCATTAAAAATACAGTCGTTTTACATCAAGGTTCGCTATAAAATTGGAGCGATTATATTTAAGTTTATATAAATGTATATATAATCATCTATTTATATGCCGATCGTGATTTCACTATGTCAAATTCTCTTAACAAGTAAAGAACAAGGTGACTAGACAGGCATATATATGAGGGTTAGGGAAGTAGTAGTAGGTCTATATTGCCTATTAGGCAGTCAATGAGTCACTCCCTTTTTGACATGACAGATTATTTCAATTAATGACAGTTTCTTAATTGCTGTGTAATTCGGTCCGATATCACGTGTTCTCTTAGTCAAGGCTAATCAAGGGTTGACTTAGAGAATCTGATTGAACAGAGTTGTGCAAAAATCAAGATAAAAATCAATAAAATGGGGTTAGAGTTTACGATTCTCGTGCTGTTTTTCTTCTCGCAATTCTCCTCTTTTTTTCTTTTCTTTTCTTTTCTAGTAACTAGATAAGCGCGCACAACTCTCCTTGTTTAATTTTTTAAACAGTTTCGCATTAATTATGTATGAAGTTAAATCTAGTTAAAACTTTTATGAAATGTTTACCTTCTTTTTTTTCCTTCCTAAAATGGATGTTTTAAAATAGAATTCTGCTTTAATTTAATTTATTTATATATTAATCTACGCATTAACGGTTAGAAAAACTAAATTAAGTAATTATTTTCTTTTATAATATTAAATTAATTAGAGAAGGTCTGTATTTAAATTTTTTTTACCTGTTTTAAAGGTGCGCAACTAATTCCGATATCCTAAAAAACGGATGCTATTATCGAGGGAGAAAAATCAAGTAGAAATTTCCGCATCATTCGAGAGATTTTTGACGAAGAGAAGGAGAATAACAGATAACAAACTATCATCTTCGTCACTACAAAACTAACAAAACTCTAAGAGGGCAGCCATTTTCGTTTCCTGACGTAAGATGCTGTTCAACAAATAGGAGAAGAGATTCTAAGTAAAGGCATCGGAACGCATCCCTTTTTCTAATCTTCTATAAACACTGTTGTTTGAAATTTCCGAAAACATCTATTGGCCAGAACCTTTAGCAATCTACCAAGGTAAATCGTTGAGAGAATACATAATTCCTGACGTCAGCATGCAACCCCGCCCAGTGGGCTTGGCTGGAAGTGATCCGGAGCCAGTTACATTGGCGTATGGTAAGGTAAGTCTTTTATGAAATGTTCTCTGCCACATCTCTCCCAGGTCGGGTTCGGTATCAGCTGCAAAGCCTCCTTTTCTCGCTTCACCGCTTGTCGTATCCAGGTAGGTTCTCATTCCCCTGTACATCTTGCTTTACCTCACATACACCCGCTTACAATGTAAAAACATTAATACAGGGTTCGAAATCTTATCTAGTCTATTCGTTACGATAATTATAAATTTAATTTTTTCGTACGCTAATTTTAAAACAGGAATAGTAAATTCGACACGCCATTTTGATTTTTCGGTTTATTTATTTACTTGTTTTTTTTTTTAATTTTGTGTTTAATTGGTGTGGTGTCAATCAGTGTTGCGCTTGATGTAGGTGAGATAATAATCGAGTTACAGTAAGCAGGGGGTTCGGTTTAATATCTTAAAAGGGGAGCATTGGACTATCCCCGGTATCATGAATTCCAATAGTGATGTGACGTGGCTTGGTTGGATTATTGTGACCAAAGACGTGACCGCTTTGGGGATAGTCCATGACTCGTGGCTTATCTCATTCTGGAAAGGGGAGGGAGATAGTTTTGTTGTATCCCGCTGTGTTGTAGGGGTTTTTCGGATGTTTAGCTATTGAGAGAACGCAGCCGGTCCCCTCCCTTTCTTATGTTTATGCTTGTTCTAATCGTTATTTTTTTCTCTTTTTTTAAAACGCAGGGGACCGGCTGGCTACTCTCCACGACGATGAACGAATCTTGAAAAAGGCTAACTCCTAGAAATGCCTGTCATTCCGATTATCAACCAGGACACGTCGCAGATATGGCGACGGATCAACGAAAAGTTGGAGGAACCTCGGAGTCAGAGGAAGTTGATCCTTGCCATTGTGTGCATTGCCCTTCTATTAGACAATATGCTGTACATGGTGATAGTGCCCATTATCCCGGACTATCTACGTTACATCGGGGCTTGGGATACGCATATGGAAGGTGCAACATACAATGTAACTAAGAACGGTACTAGAATCCAGACTGGTCTTGGTCATATAGTGTTCGAAGGTGAAGATTCGGCTGTGGGTGTCTTGTTTGCATCGAAAGCTATCATTCAACTTCTCATCAATCCTTTCTCGGGAGCTGTTATAGATAAGATAGGATATGACATACCCATGATGATAGGATTAACTATTATGTTTTTTTCCACGGCTATGTTTGCTTGCGGTCAAAGTTATGGAGTACTTTTCTTTGCAAGAAGCTTGCAAGGGGTGGGTTCTGCTTTTGCAGACACGGGAGGTTTAGCCATGATTGCAGATCGTTTCACCGAAGAATCGGAACGAAGTAAAGCTATAGGAATTGCCCAAGCGTTTATATCCTTTGGTAGTCTGGTAGCACCTCCGTTCGGAGGTCTTCTGTATCAATTTGCAGGTAAAGAAGTACCGTTTATTGTTCTGTCTTTGGTGTCGCTCTTCGACGGATTTGCATTGTTATTTGTTATGAGGCCAGTTAAACAGGCCATGAAAGAAGCGGGGGTCGAAAGACCCAAAGGTACGCCAATATGGAGACTTTTCATAGATCCTTATATTGCGGCATGTGCTGGTACCCTTGTTATGGCGAATGTATCTCTAGCGTTTTTAGAACCGACCATTAGTCTGTGGATGGAGAATACCATGGACGTGGAGGAATGGCAAATGGGGTTAATTTGGTTACCCGCCTTCTTTCCTCACGTCATTGGAGTATATACCACAGTAAAATTGTGCAAAACATATCCGCAACACCAATGGCTAATCGCAGCAATAGGATTAGCAATGGAAGGTATCTGCAGCTTCTTTGTGCCCTTCGCTCGCTCTTTCTGGTTTCTTATCTTGCCCTTATCCGGAATCTGTTTCGGAATCGCTCAAGTGGATACGTCCCTTCTCCCCATGTTAGGTTATTTAGTCGATGTACGTTATGTATCGGTGTACGGGTCAATTTATGCCATTGCGGACATATCCTATTCCCTAGCATACGCAGTAGGGCCAGTGATAGCCGGGGGAATCGTTTCAAGTATAGGATTTCTAGCCTTAAATGTACTAATAGCAGTTACGAATCTTATTTACGTTCCAGTAATATACACATTAAGGAACGTATACGACTATAAACCGTTTGAAAATGAAGCAAACATACTGATGGACGATCCGCCACCAAAACAATACCAAACATACGTATTGCAAGACGGTGCAGCTACCATACCCGAAAGCCAACCTCCTCAGGTGCAACAGACAGAATTCATCGAGCAACAACCAACTCAGCTGCAACAGCAACAGCAGCAGCAGCAGCAACAACAACAACAACAACAATACCCATCGACTAATCCTTTTCAAGAAGAGCTAGCACAACCACAACCACAACAACAACAACCACAACCACAACAACAACAATACTACCACCATCAACAACAACAACAGCAACAACAACACCAGTCCAAACAAATTGCAGAACCTCAACCCACCAGAAATCCAAAGCCCAGAAAACAAGTCCGCGGTCGTGGTTATCGTTCATCCGACATGGAACGAATCATAACGAGTTCGGACGAAGATTTAGAATGAGTTGTTGCCTTATAAAAGTTATATCTCTGCAATAACTGTTGTAACTAGATTGTACAGTTTAGACTGATAGATGTTTAGGAATCATAAGACAACACCATACTGAATCTGCGTTGGCTCGACAATCTTGTTAGTTTATCCGGCATATTCCGGATTTCACGGAAAAAAAAGAGGTCGTAATACTAGCAATAAATGAAGAAAATTCTAAATCTAGATGTCGTCACAAAAAACAAACCTGCACAGATAGTTAGAAATCGGTGCTAAGGACTGATCAACGTCTAATTCCTCCGTGTGCTATCTATTTCTTCGTTATTCAATCAGCGTATATATATACAAATATATATATAATATATATAACTGTTATATAGTTAAATGTCTCTTGTACAGTCACTTAATCTGTACAGCACCCTGTAGAGAGTTATATGTGTGTGAGAATGTGTGTTGCATAAATAAAGTTATCCAGTTCAAATTAAAGTTGTGTTTTGTTACTATCTAAGCATAGCCGTGACCCGATAACGTTTAACGGAGCGTAACTAGTGTTTGCGTATCGTGCTCCCTTCCCGTTCTAGTGCAGAAAAAAAAAGAAGTCGAAAATTCCGGTGATAGAAGGCCTACTTGTTTTTAAAGTTTTTGATTTTTATCAACGACAAAATCTATGATACTTGAAAGTTTAATAAGATAAATTTGATTTATTTTTTCAAAGAGGTGCTCCTTGTAAATTGGAGGTTGCTGTAAATTTAATTTTTCAACTTTTCTTTATTTTTCTGAAGTGTTAAATGTACGGATTTATTCTCGTCTCTATCTTGAACAGTTCGTTTTTTTAAGTATATTAAATGAATTGATTTTGTAGTTTAAATGGCGAATTTTAGTCGATTTTATAAAGTAAAAGGCGGCTGGTTGTCTTATTTTATAACAAAGTTATTCTAAAATTATATTTTATCAGATAAAATAGAAATGAAATTAATTAAGATACGATAAAATTCTTAAATTTTGCTGCTTAATAACAAAGATATTACGTCGAATTTATGAGAAACTATGAGATATTTTGTTTCTAAATCTCTCGTAGAAGCAAAATAGATATTTTCTCCGAGTAAATTCTTTTGTGTAGAGCCGGTATAAAATAAAACTTATAAAATTCACTGCTTAATAGTAAAGATACTACATGGAGTCTATGAGAAAATATAAGCTATATTGATTCTTAATCTCTAATGGGCAAGAATTGATTAAGATACGACAAAACCCATAAAATTCACTGCTTAATAATAAAGATAATATGTTAAATCTATGAAAAACTATGAGATATTCTAATGCTTAGTCTCTTATAGAGCTAAAATAGGCAATTTACTACTGTAAATTCGTTTTGTATTACTTAAACTCAGCCCTTCTACCATCTAAATTTAAGCTTTACATCAAATTTGTATCCGATGTTGAAGCAAAAAAAAAAATAATAAATGTTATAAATAAATTAAGATTTAATGAATAAATATTCTATATTTATATTTTAGAATCGAAATTCGAAATTTCGAGCCATTTTTTCACAAGAAAAAAAATCTATTTTCGAAGATATAGAAAGAGCCAAAAATAGAAGTTAAGCTTGAAGGATTGTTACTGATCACACCCAGATTTTACTCAATCTTACATCTAAAATTAAATCTTAAGAATTAAGCTTTTCACATACTTTATCGTCAATAATAGTAGAAATATCTTAGAAATCTTATATAGATTATTTGAGCTTAACAGAAGAAGTATTGATACTGATTACAATGGATCTCGCTCTAATTTTATTATTAAAATTTAACTATTAATGCTTTAAAATCCTATTAAACTTTACTTAAATCATAAAGACGAAGATTATTAGTGACAGCAACCCGGAATTTTAAATCTGTATTTAAAAATTTAACGTTTTTATTAATATTAATCATAATAAACTAGAGTTGTCAGGGGAATTTTTAATGTTAATTTTATAAAATTTTTACAGTTTAATTGAAGATTTCGATGGTTTAATTCTGTGTTTTCAATTCTGTTTAATTATCTGAGTAAAAAAGGAAGAATGAAGATCAGAATTAAGAAAAATGTCATTAAATCTTCTAAACAATTATCAATAAAATCTATAAATAGCGTTAAAAATCCGTTTTTAAAATATAAATTTAAGAAAAGATAGTATTTTTAATGGTATTTATGAATATTTTTATACATTTGGTTAGAATTAAAGCTTAAAGCATCAGATCATAGATCTAATTTCTGTTGTCGATATAAAATCTTTGTGGTTTCCTCAAGATTTCAATTAATTTTCTGTTTATAATCCTTTTTAAAAATCTTATTTTTAAAAATAAAATTAAGAGAGGAGAGGATTTTTAATGTTATTTATGGATCTTTCTTTATGTTTAATTAAAATTAGAGCTTAAAGTTTCAACTTAAAGATTCAACTTTACTGTCAATATCTTTATGGATTCCTCAAGAACCAACTAGTTTAATATTTACACATAAAAACTCATGAAAACGTTAAAGAAAACTTTATATAATAATAAAGTCAAGAAAGAAGAACATT